ATTAACTTTATCCTAAGGATATTATTTATTAGATCTATATATATAATATTTAAATATCTCTTTAATTAAGAGAGAATAGAACTATAGGTATAGTTTAATAATATTAAGGTAATAACCTTAATAACTAGACTAATTATATAAAAAGCTATTAATAAGTTACTTAATAATAAAAAGACTTAATTTTAAATATAAACTTTAATTATTAATTAAGAATTTATAAAATAAGAACTAGTATTATAAGGAGAAGTTAAAGAGAAAGATATAATCTTCTAATTAAAAAAGGAAGATAAAGAGGCTATTAAAGATACCTTATATTATATAACTATAAGGAATTATATTAATAAGGATAAAGAAGTAATTATAAATCTATAAAAGTAACTATATAAGAAGTTAAAAATCTTTATTTTATATAAAAGAAAAAAGGTATAGGTTAAATTATTAGATATTTTTAATAATTTTATACTAGAAGATAATTTAAAGTATAAGAAGAAGAAGTAAAAGCTAGTAAAAGGTAAAGTAAAAGGAGTAAGTAATTATATTAATTTTTTAATAAATAAATTCTTAGAGATTAAAAAAGATAGTTAATTATATAAAGACTAACTACTTAATATAAAAAAGTAAATCTTTAACTTAATAATATAAGAAAAAAAGATATTTTTATTATATTTTATAATTAAAAAGCTACTTTAGCCTAGATATTTAAAAAAAGTAGTTAACTTAACTTAAGTATAATATTATTATAAGAATTAAAGGTTATTAATTATAAACTTTAATATATAAAATTAATTTTAATTTTAAAGAAGATCTTACTAAAGTTTATCTAGTTCTTAAAAATAAGACTTAAAGCTAGTATCTTAAAAGAAAGCTATAATCCTTATAAAAACCTAATATTTTTAATTATAAAGCTAAATAAAAGCCTAAGACTAATTAACTTTATAATAAAAATTAATATAATATTAGTCTAAGATATAAATATCTTAATTATTTATAAAAAAATAATAAAAGACTTTATTATATATAAGATCTTATTACTACTAGACTTCTTCTCTAGTTATAATTAAGTACCTCTTATAGTTAAAAGTTAGGATTTAATAACCTTCCTTAGCCTAATTAGCTTACTTAAAATATATATCTTATCTTAAGATATTACTAATTCTATCATATAATTTA